TGCATGATGCATTTACACTTTATATTAACGTATGTGTGAACATACTTTAACTTTTGTCTCCTTCGTGACATAAGCTAAGCCAAATTTCAACATTTGTTGTCTATAACACGAATCTCATTTATTGGATATTGCGGTGGAATTTTTTTCACTTTATGGTTGCTCAAGATATAGTTGAACTTTTGAGCATAGAAAGCAAACATATTTTCTTGCTCTTAAATGTATAGAAAAAGCAGAGTTTATAACATCGATAGATTCTACTAAATTTCTATGTGGTCGTTGGGCCAAAAACACAGACCATTGGCCAAGAGTGTCCAAACCACAGATTAATTTCTGTCAGAGGCTAATATCTCTGTAATGCGAAATCTACAATTCTACTGAAGACCAGAGTCAAGTTTTGTGTAAGAACATGACCAAATGCATCACTGTTGAGTGTTTTTTGGGAGAGTTAAGATCATTTTATGCAAGCCTTGAGCAATACCTCATGTTTTGTAGAGCTTGAGAAGAAAACAACACAGTACATTAACTCGCAGAAGATGTTTAATTTGTAACCATCAGTAGCTTATTAAGTATATACAAAAGTTCTGATAATCATTCAAAACCATAACATATTCTCTACTAATTTCAGGTGCCGCGGAGGGCCCGGATACGTTCTTGAATCAGTTTCCTTTCCCAATCTGCAATGTCCTCGAATGCGTTCTCAGGCAGATTCTCAAAGGGCTCTTTCCACGGATCGTTCTTGGCCAGATCATATGTCGCGCCGCGGATAGCTCCTTTGCTAGGCCCGCATTGACGCTTTGATACCAATGTGTCATAAGCCGTGTTCAGCTGTATCGAAACGCAAAATCAGATCACAACAAGTTTGAAACTTTATTCAAAGTGAAGTTGAGTGAGACTTTTTCGACTTACGTTCACGTCACAGAACCAATACATATAAGCGATTGAAACCGCTGGAGCTCTTCCCAATCCGGCTGTGCAATGCACGTAGACTCGTCCTTTACCTTCCGAAACCGCCCATTCCAAAGAAGAAACGGCTTTCGGAAGCTGGCTTCTTAACGAAAGTGGATCGAAGTCTTTAGCCTAATAGAATAAGCAAACAAGAAAACCCAATTTAGAAAACTCTCTGATTCTCACATGATTCCACGGGTTGAAAATGCAAGAAATGTTCCTTACGGGCCTTCTCATGTGACGGATTCCGAGCTCCTTACATCTTTTGACAATTGATTCCAGATGGATTCCCCAATACTCAATGTCCTTGTCTTGCTGCAAGTTCAGTATGTAAGCAACATTCTCTTCCTTTTTCAAGTGATCTATGTCCTCGGGTTTCTGCGGTTGCGAACCAACGATCAGTTCGTCTCTTATCAATGTATAGTTCATCCCTGAAAAAAACAGGACAGAGACCAAAATAGAAACATCATCACATCAATAGGTAGAAGTAGAACCTCTAAGATTCTTGAATCTTTCACCAAGATCTCTGGAACTCAGGTTCCTTAACAAACTCTCTCAGTATCAATCTACTTAAGGCACTGTAAGATATACTACCTAATCTTATCACAGAGTTCCAGTACTAGGAAACAAGAAATCATTACATAGTATCTGAGAATCTATGAAATTGGGGACAAAAACCGATGGAGATTATGTGAAATACCCAGATCATGATGATACTCATATGGGCTCCTCATCAATCTCTTCATAGCTGTATTGTAATCCTCCATTTTGTTCTTCGAGCTTAGAGAAACCCCATTGCTTCCTGGATTCTCTCCAATTCCACTCCCTGAGATTTTGCTCAGAAATCTTTGATCAAACGATGATTTATTAATCGAATTGAACCAAGAAGATCTCTCATTTTCTCGGGAGTATCTAGTAACCGAGAAAATACAGCTCTTGCTTCCAATCACAC